TGAATGGATTGGAGCTCATTCACTTTCCTCTTTGCCGTCCCCCGGACTGGCATGACACAGAAACAGTTTTAACCACCATAGGGAGGAACTCTGCAATGGTCGAAGCCATTCTCAATTTTTTGCCAGAGATTCCAGTAGTACTAATTCAATCTTTTCCACTGTGTCACAGCTTTACCCTACTTTTCAATAAATGGAAACTTTGTTTTTAAATACCTGGTGCTTTTTCGCTTTTTCAGTAGCACAAACTTCAAAGCAAATTGCCCAAAAGTAATGTTCAAATGTCTCCAGACAAGCTGGGCATAGTAATTAAGTTGTAAGTGCCCTCCCTTCCCTGCTCCCATCCCGAAGTGCCTGTATCCCGTTCCTTCAAGGGTTGAAATCCAACTCCAACTTCTGGAGCTTATGCCCCCTTTACAATTGCCCTACTGAGTGGTGATCTAGCTGAATTTCAAATGTCCTAAAATGACCAGGACAGCTGACGGCATCTTTCTGTAGCCCTAATCCTGGGCCCAAGTCTACAGAAATCTACTTCTCTGTAGCTGTGCATGTTGAGCCCCACTGTGGAACAGACACATTACAAATAATCATGTCTTCAGTTACTTTTGTACGTTAGGTCTTGCCATGAATGTATCATCTCACTTAATCCTTCCAGTGACTCTGCATCGTCCCTCAAATGTAGGCTCTCCGAGGGTGGCTGGCTTGATCTGATTTGTTCACTTCTGTCCCAGTCTTGAACAGGATCTAGGTCAGTGATGGCGAACCTATGACACGCGTGTCAGAGGTGACACGCGAACTCATTTTTTTGGTTGATTTTTCTTTGTTAAATGGCATTTAAATATATAAAAAATATCAAAAATATAAATCTTTGTTTTACTATGGTTGCAAATGTCAAAGAATTTCTATATGTGACACGGCACCAGAGTTAAGTTAGGGTTTTTCAAAATGCTGACACTCCGAGCTCAAAAGGTTCGCCATCACTGACCTAGGTGATATTAGGCACACAGTAAGGATTTGCTGGATTTAAAGATAATGACTGTCATTATCCCCATTTTACAGACGAGAAAGCAGAGAGTCACAGACACTGCTACAAGCTGCAGGACTACTTTAATAGGATCCGAAGGAATAAAGCCATTAGGAAGAGGGTACCATTTGTGTCCAAAAGGCTCTGCCTCTTGCCAAACCCCCAAGGTGGCTGCCCAGCCCACCTGTTCTTGAGATAGACACAGCTGGGGCTGGAGGAAAGTGGTGTTAGGGTCCAAGAATACCACTTAGAACAGTTGGGTGGTGGTTAGTTACAATGAAAGGGTCATCAAGGGCCTTGTATAGAGCAGTATATTGCATACATAACTGCAGCCATGGAGGATGGATTCGGATTATTTCACTTTTCATTGAAAATTGAAGGGGTAAAAGTGGTAGGAAAGGTGAGAACAAGACAGCCAAACACAAACACCACAAACCAAACCACAGCAAAACAAAAGCCAGAAAACCTCCAACCCCAAAACCAAACCAGGACAAAACGTACGAGCTGGAACAATGGAGAGGGAGTTTCATGAGGGTTTGTCTTGTTTTCTGTGGAACACATGTAGTCCTTTTAGCCTGAGGAGCCCTTATGCTACGTATTGGACCATTGCTAAACAATAATGCCCCATTTCAAGTATCATTTTCTGTCTTGCAAAACCCAAGTTTCTTGGGAATTTATGTCTTCTGCTGAGAGAATATAATCCTTACCCTGACTTTTTTTTCCTTATTAATGGCCAAGAAAGCCCAAGTATCACAGTTTTTTAAAAGTTGACCAGGAGAAATGTTTGTGATGAATGGAATATTTTCTTTGGTAAACAAACACCAACTCAAAACCAACCAAATGAGTTTCTTTGGTAAAGTGAATATTAATGCCTTGGTTGGAATTAATTGAAAACTAAAACTTTTCCAAGTGTTTGCTAGGGTCGTTCTTTCCCTCTTTATAGCAATTGAAAAAGTAAAACTTCATGAAGTAAAGACAAATTTTATATGGATGTGATTTTGAGTTATTTCTAAAGTGTCTTCTCCATGGTGGGGTTAAGCTGGGGCTAAACCAATGCTGTCAGAGCAATAATCAATAATCATTATTAACAATTAAATAATGATCTAACAATAAATAATCAGTAATAAATCTTGGCATGCAGAGTCCCCCAGTAAAAAAAAAGAAAAGTCATTCCACAGTCAGAATTTCATAAGCCTTGATTTCAAGTGTTGAAAAGAGAAGTTGATAAGGTTGAAAAGTCCCTTCGTTTAAAAGTACATTATCCCAAGGAATACAGAGTCTCAATCCAGTTGGAAAACTGTCGTAAAACAAAGTTCCACAGTAAGTCCTTCCGGTTGACCACATTGAATGATTAAATTCTCAACAAAATCCGCTTAATCGGTGAGTGTGTCGTATCAGTTTTGTGGAGTCGTTTGAACCCGAGGTGCTCCACGTGGCCGACACTAAATCAATGGCTGATTTAGAACACACTGTTCAGAAAATGATTTAGCAACATATGATTTAAGAATAAAAGCAATCCCCTCTTCAGCCGTGTTTGATAAATAATAGCCTTGTTGCAGGCCCCTTGGAGAGAGAATTGATCGCAGATCTATTATGTGAACTTGCCCTTTTTTGAGGACTGTGTTTGTCCTCAGATTAAAGCTCATTATCTTCTAGTTGAGCACATACCATGTTGGTATGATCGCTTCGTGTGTCTGCAGGAGAGATTGGACAAGTGTGTAATGTACTAGTGATGATCCCCTGCACATGTATTTACAGCTGTGTGAACAACAGTACATGAAATAGAAAGCACAGGTTTGCACTTGGTGGAGTACATCTGAATCATTTGGGCATTTTTGCTGTTTGGAAAGACAGTGGCAAATCTAAATCCCAAACAATTACCCAGACGTTAAAAAAAAAAAAAAAGCCTGCCCTGTGGCCAACAAAGTCCCGTGTTCCTTCCTTGGAAATGTACTTTGAAGGGAGTAATAGCCCTCTTATGAGAAAATCTAAAATTGGCCTGCCCTGTCTTAGACATGCTAAAATGATAGAAACCCTCTAGTGGTGTGACCCTGGGTGAGTCGCTTTATCCTCCTAGGTCTCACTTTCCTCCCCTGTGGAGGATGGGAAAGTTGCACAGTACATCCGCTAAAGTCCAAAAAGGTAAGGTGCTTTTGGGAAATGCTTATCACTATAGATGTCTAAGTAAGCTACATCTCTAAAAGGGAAAAAACACTGTAGACAGTTGCCTCAAATGTGACCAGCTTTTAGCTTAATTTGTACAGACTTAAAGAAACGCAGGGGTCTGGGGCAACATACATAGCCTCTGCAGATCAAACCTTTTCTGTTTAGATCCTGCAGATACTGCAAGTCAACAGTATAAGCATCTAGGCTCATTGACGTGCAGACGGGCCATGCAATGAAGTAGACGGGCAGCAACGAAGGCTTGGGGCGGGGCAGGAAGATGAAAGTGCAGCCAGTTTAGCAGGAAAGTGTGACTGTCATCATTGATAGATTTATATCAGAGATTACATCTTCCGGCCATTCCATCTATCTCCCTTTCCATCCTTTATCTCCCTGCCTGCGCTTTCTCGAAGTTTCTCAGCTTCAGGACTTGCGCCCACCAAAGCACCTTGTGTCCTCTGGGTCTCTGAGCAGGCATGTATCCTGGCGCAGGCGCACTGGCACTACAGTTTGGAGGCTATGGCAGAGAAGCATCTCAGTGTTCCTTTCTCCTTCCTTAGCTAGGCGTGGGCAGGTTTTGTTTCTGGGCATCCACGCACAAAATGCATGCAGGGCCAGAACACGAACAGCTGTACCAGCTGGCCATTTTTTTCTTAAAATGGAAACACTGTCCCTGGGTTCAAGTAGACACCTGCTTGTCCTCCATCGTGCCAGGTATTTGGGTTTGGCTCTGTGGTTTTGGGTACTCAGAGCCTCCTGCCAAGAGCTGTAACTAATAAAGCAGATCCATTTGGTGACAAGCAACAGGATATTCCAAAATAGAATCGCCCAACTCTGCATTGCTGGAGCTGTCACTGGTTTAAAGGTATAGTAACCGAACCAGACAAATGTGAAAAATATATTGATGGGGTGGGGAGGGGATAGGATCAATTCATTCTACACAACAAAGCTGCCTCACCTGGGGGAATTGAGAGGTGACTCGATTTCAGCCCCTGGTGATGGCTACTCCACCATGTGTCTGCTTCTGAAGTTCTGGCTTGCTTTTGCTGGCCAGAGCTTTCACAAGCATCTCCTTGGGGTGTCGGGGAGCTAGATGAGATGACTGAAACCTCAAACCACAGAGCCTGCCTGGAGCTACTGCTCTGCAGAAGTTCTGGAAGCCTTACTGTTTGAACAATGCTTAAAGCTATTTCTGCCTTGGCAGCTGACCTTTCAATCAGTAGGTTTTTGTCACAATACCAGCAACATCTGCAGTGTGAATAAAATGGGATTCTGCTTGCTCTTAAGCTTTCTTCTATTTGATCTTAGTTTAGGAGACTATAAGTCTCCGTGTGTGTGTGTGTGTGTGTGTGTGTGTGTGTGTGTGTGTGTGTGTGTAAAGTCTTTCTGATAACAACCTTTTGTTTAAAAGGTTGAAAATATGCAATGCCCATTTCCCCCCCTTGTCCTTTACTTTCTTTTGGCAATCAATGCCTGTTTCTTATCCTTACAAAAGAAAGAAAAACTCTAAATCTGTTTCATTAGCATCATCGCTTTGCTCTTCGTAAGACCTAGGGTGAAAATATAACAAGCAGACACTCTCACACTGTTGTGATCTGGTCAACCACTCGGGTACTATCCATATCCACCATTTCGACACACTCAATTTCCTCCCGGTTTTCAGGATTTTTCTTATCTTTCCTTTTTTTCTTAGAGGGTGGCAGGAAAGTCAGTATCACAGGTAAAATGGCAAAGCAGTGAAAGAATGTGACAAATGCTATTAAAAACAAGCACCTGAACAGTGTACAGGTCAGATTTGAAGGCACAGCTGCGAGAGGAATCAGACCAACAAGATAGCAGAGGTAGCTCTGTAAAATAGCTACCCCGTGCACTTCCAGGGCATTTTTTACCCATTTAGTTCTTGTGAGGTCCTTGCCAAGAACAAATGTGGATAACAGTGGAGCACAATTGTCAATTGTGTAGTTAATTCCATAAATTAAGCATAGCACGGAAATGCAGTCTAGTTCGACTTTCCATAAGGTCATGAAACCTACAACTCCAAACTCCACGGACACGACCGTTAGAGTGAGCCAGACATTAATCAGGGAATCTGCCACCAGGAATGCCGAGAAGAAGAGCAGGAACAAAGCACTGATGCAGGAGTTGTGCAGGGGGGCGCCCAGAGAGGAGGCGTATCGATCCATGTACACGAAGGATGGATTGAAAACAATGAACTTCACCTTGGAGGTGACAGAAAGTCTCCTCAGGGTCTCCAGGAGATCGTAGAGTTCTTCTCTGTTGGTTTCCATGGTCTTAGCCACCAAAAACATTCTGGAGGCCACTACGTCGAACTCATCGTACTTTTTAGAGAAGATGATGTCCTCTTGAAAATGCGAATATTGGGGGGCTTTCAGAAAGGAGTTCCTCAACATGTCTGTGAAGTTTTTCTTAGGCAAGCCAGTGGACACATTGAGTTTCCGAAGGTAATTTAAATAGCTCTCAAACCAGGATATCCGCACAAACCCCTTGGTGTATTCTAGGACATCTTCTTGGACACTAGTGTTCCAGTATTCGATGGACTCATATATGTAGAACCCAATCACTGGACTGTAGTTGCTGAAGTACTTTTGCTGGGCAGTAGTGTACTCAATGGTTTGTGTCGCAGTCGCTACGATGTTACTAAGGTCTGACCCTTCACTGACCTGCAGATAGCCCATTAAGGCAAAGGAAATATAAATAAGGTAAAAGAGAACTACAAAAGGCTTGACATAGGTGTTGGTTATCCAGTCACAGTAATAGCGTTTGAGGAAACATACCAACAGGTGACTCTCATAAGTGTTTGCTTCCTCACCATCACTTGTGTCCTCGCTGAATCTGGCTGTCAGGAGGAACCTGTACCATGCCGGCTTCTCCTGCAATACATCGGGCTTTGGGACTTTTCGACAGAAGATACTATGCTGGTAATTGTTTTCTATGTAGCCAGTGAATACCAGGCTGGAACCATAAAATGACAGTACATAGAGGTAGTTGAAAAGGATTGCAATACAGGAATTGCAGCAGAAGATTCTGGCTGCCTCAATGTTCGTGAAAGGGCTGGCCCCTATGCCAAAGGTGACCAGGTACATGGCAGTGGTGAGAGAAAAGGAGAGCATGGAGTCGGCATAGACCTCTGCAGTTCTCTCTTTAACGTGTTGGTCTTCTCTAGTTTTCCTCCAGGAGGATAACATTTCAAAAGTCCCATATAATCCATGACCTGAGGGGGCAGAAAAAGACCAGATCAAAAGTTTGAAAGATGGATCTCTTTAAAGAGAGGAATCAGCTTGGTTATGGGCAACTTACTGGGTCAAGGGAAGTAGAACCAGCCCTAGTGTGACCAGTGACAAGTAAATGCCAATGACTTCTCCGGTGGAGAGAGAGGCCTGTGTTTGGGTGACTCAGAAATGTTAATGGCTCGTCAAAGGGCAGCCAGAGGAGCTAAGATCTTTGTGCTCCCTCCTGGCTTAAGAGAACTGGGTGGATTTTTGCCTAGAGCAGCGGTTCTCAACCTGTGGGTCGAGACCCCTTTGGGGGTCGAACGACCCTTTCACGGGGGTCGCCTAAGACCATCAGAAAACACATATATAATTACATATTGTTTTGTGATTAATCACTATGCTTTAATTATGTTCAATTTGTAACAATGAAAATACATCCTGCATATCAGATATTTACATTACGATTCCTAACAGTAGCAAAATTACAGTTATGAAGTAGCAACGAAAATAATTTTATGGTTGGGGGTCACCACAACATGAGGAACTGTATTAAAGGGTCGCAGCATTAAGAAGGTTGAGAACCACTGGCCAAGAGAAAGCTGAGTAGACTTGGGCCTATGTCTCTTGGGGATTGTGTAGCGCGACAGTTTAAAGTTGTTGGTGTAGTTTGCAGAGTATCTGTTTCCCTTGGTTGGTGGGACACACCAGAGGAGATGCCTAGTCAATCATTTTGCTTGTCATCCCCACAAAGCTGGCTGGAGGTCAGCACAGAGGAAGGCAGTGGGCAGAGGGTCCTGAGTTACATCTCATCATCTCATTTAAGTCTGGCCAAGTGGAGGGCTTTAGGGAGAAGGAGGCACTGTATTTAATTTGAGCATTGACAGGAACTTAAATCACATCCTCTTTTATGTTTCCTTCCCTAAATATCAGTGCAGGAAGCAATAAATCTGAGAGACAGACGGAAGCAAACACAGTAGGAACAAGTCTGAATGAGTAGGAAAAATGAAAGAAGGCACAGAGTCATATGAACTCCCCCTGCAGTTGATCAAAATCAAAATCAAAGGGGAATATCTGTAATACTTTCAACAATAAGGAATTTAACAAAAAAATTTAGGTTGAAAGTTTATGGCTTGTATTTGGTCGCCAGGGATCTGTTTGACCAAGTTTTGTTATTCAAAGATGATGAATCCAGCAGGTGGTGACTTCTGGCTTCTCAGCATTCTTTGGCAATGGCCTCTGAGGGAGACACCAAGATTAGTAACCTTTGCTTAAATCCACAGCGCCTTTGCCTCCTGGGTTAGCATTCCAGTAACGCTGGAATAGTAGAGGCCCATGTTCTCACTCCATTCTACTGTCTGAGACCAGATCTAGCTGGACTTCTCTCACCTCTCTTGGTTGGAGCCAGGCACTTCCCCAATGGGCCTCCCATCAATGTGACCCATCGTGTTTTTCAGTAACCCCCTGTCTTGGCACTGGCATCAACAGATCTCATTTTCTGCTTCTCCGCCTTGGCATATTCAATCCCATTATTGAGGATAATAAAATCTTTACCCTGTGGTACAATAGTCTTGTTTTTAAAAAGGAATTTAAAATCTCCAGCCAAGCGTAATGCTGAGGGGAGTGAGTCACTGTGATGTTGTGTATACAATAAAACCAAGCGCACGTCTTCCCTCGTGCCCAGGCTGGTATTTATAGCCTTCTTGTGAAATCTTGGCCTCAAACCCGAATGCCCATTTGATAGTTATTACATAGGCCTGTTTCCTCAGAGGGACTTGGCATTTATCTTAATTTACTAGCCATCGTTTTACAGCCACTTTTCGAGGTCAGGTCAAAATTGTCAATTTGATAACTAGCTCTGCGGCCCCTATTAAATTGGAGGCACCTTAACTCTCCGTACGTGAAGCAAAAAAAATGCCCTTGTTGCCTGGCAGGCTGTTGTTAATTATGTTTTAGGTAGCTAACAGCAAGTCTCAGGAGGGAAAACTGGTAAGTCTATTTCCACTGTGTTGTCAGGAAGGACCAACTGACCTTTGGTTAAAAGCAACGTATCCCTTGACAACGAAGGTAAAGGAGGGTTAATATCTCTGAGGTGTCTGCACCCCAGGGAAACAGTATTGACAATTTCATCTAGAGCCACGTAGACTAAGTTCCAATGGGCAAAACAATTTAGCGTTTCACTGAAAATGGCAAATGGAAGTTTTTTTACAGTATTTACTTGTTAGAAACAAAAAAAAGTTTTAAAACGGGGCATTTGTACTGAATCATTAAATATGGTAAGAAAATAAGGATGCATATAGAAGGATTTTAGTCAGCCATATAGTAGAATTTAAATGAAATCTGTTTTACACTCCTTTCTTAAAATTGGTGCAATATTTTATAATTAGAGGCCCGGTGCATGAAATTCGTGCACTGGGTGGGGGTGGGGGTCCCTCAGCCGGCAGTCAGACATCCCTCTTGCAGTCCGGGGCTCTTGCAGTCTAGGACCCCTCACCTGCAGCGGAGGCAGGAGAGGCTCCCACCACTGCCAATGCGCTCACCAGCCATGAGCCTGGCTTGTGAGAGCAGGGGCGGTGGCGGGAACCTCTCCTGCCTCTGAGGCAGTGCTAAAGAGCAGTGAGCCTGGCTTCTGGCTGAGCGGCACTCCCACAGGGGGAGCACACTGACCACCAGGAGCAGCTCCTGCATTGAGCATCTGCCCCCTGGTGGTCAGTGCATGCCATAGCGACCGGTCGTTCTGCCGTCCGGTCGATTTGCATATTAGCCTTTTATCATATAGGATGACATTATCTGACCCTGATGGGAAGCTACAAGAATCCATATCTTACCTTGCCGTTGAATAATCTTAGAAGCTATTTGAGAAAAGATATTTGCATTAACAGAGCTATTAGGTAAAAAGGGTGGTGCTGGAGGGTCCAGAATGAAAATAAATTCAAGGAAAAGTAGAAGTAGGCTATTTGCTTGTCTCTTGAGTTCTGTTGCTACATTTTAAATGCCTTGTCCTATAGTTTGGTTATTTTTATTGTATTTTAACTGTTTTCACACATGCTCTGGGGTCTGAGGGCAATTCCAGAGAGAATTCTGATTTTATTCTTAGGCTTTTGGAAACTATGCCTTTCCTTTGTTCCTCTTGCGACAGGGATGTGCATGCAGATACTCATAGAGGCCAGCAAAGGGATCCCTGAGAAAGAATCTGTTCTACTGATCCCTCAGCATTGGTTGCTAGCTATCATTTGCCTTGCTCCCACCCATTCCTGATAGGCTAGGACTGTTGTTTCTCAAGCCACACCTCACCAACAGATGCCTTTACCTTAAACCCAGACCTGGAGTTGTGCAGTATCTTCACAGAGCTCTTTGGTTTTCAGGAACAGCTGCCTACACCATAACCAGGCCTCCTTCCCGAAGCTCAGTCAATCAGGGGAGGGATGAGTGCCAACAGAGCTGCCTCCCTAGGATTAACAGCCTGGAGTGCCTAGCTGGCACTAGACCTGATTCACAGCTCGATATTGATGTTGAAGAGGTCAATCTATGACCCTAAAGCAGAGTTGAACTGTAGGGCCCTTGTTTCCTGGCCTCTACTCAAGGGGAGACATATTCCCAGAGCCTTAGGACATGAAGAGTGCCCTGCACCCTGGGATGCTGGTCTGCCCATAATTATAGCCACATTCCCTTTGGTTTTGACTTTCAAGGGTATCCTTTGAAATGCACCCCTTTCCCCAGAACACTGAGCTACCAAAGCAGCTTCCCTTCGGTCTGGGGAATGGGACAGAGAGTAGAGATGAGGAGGCCGTGAAGAGGAAATCATAGGCAGGTGGACTTCGCAGGGACAGACTCCTTCATACTTTTCCCTCCAGCCTTGTCTTTTATAGTCACTTCCGAATGTGGAAACTAAGGAAAGGCAGGGAAGAAAGAGTTCGGTAGGCTCGGTCCCTACCCCACTTTCCTCTCTCGGCAGTTGCCTCCCTTCTTCAGCATCACCATCATCCATCACTCTCTTAATTTTGGGGGCTGGGGTCCGGCAAGCAGGACTCTTACAGATGTAGGCGAACAGATACTGCATGTGGGTTGAAGAGACTTTTCAGAGGTTTGGCTATTGTTTTCCCCATATTGCAAAGGTGCTTTAAAAACAAAAGTATTGCTCTCTGCTTTGAACTCTAGTTATTAAATTTTCTCTATGAAGTCAGAGCTCTATAAGCTTTCCTATTACATCTGACTAAAGGGCCTATGTCATTGGCACAAAGCATCTCTTTGGCATGGGACCATTTTCCGTCTCCAGTGTTCACGAGGACTCCCGGGTAGCAGCGTTCATGCGGGAAGCTATCTAACAGGAAGTTCCAAACAGATTTAGCCCTTGGTGACCAAGACCCTACCGTGGTAATGGGAGCCAGGGCTCATCATCAGAGGGGCAGCTCCATGGCTGGAAACTGTATCATAGTGAGCATGCCAGGAACTGACCAATCTCCCAGGCCATTCCCTCTTACAGTCACAGTATGTAAGCCCGTGAACAGTTGCCAAAGGGAACTGTTAAACAACACATACTGATGCTATCACATTCTGAAGATAAAGAAGCCCTTAAAGTATTCACTTGTCTTCTCAAAGTACATTCAAAATATTTGTTTCTCTTTTGATTCCATTGCACGTCTGTAGAGTTACATGCATATCAGTGTGTGTCAAGACACACACACAGGTCCAAGTTCTAATTATTCACGAGTGAATGCTTTGAAGGCAACGTGGGCTTTTAGCCAGGCTCCGGGACAAGGACAATAGAGCTAGCTCTTCACCAGTGTTCAGACACAGTTTGTACCAGGAGTGCAATTGAAATTTTATTAGCAGCAGACTTTGGGATTGTCATCTAGTAAACTCAAATACTGAAGGGTTTAGGCTGATCATTTTTCTTTTTTCCGAAAGAATTTTATATCTTTATATGCAGTTAACGTTCAGGCTTTGGAGCCAATGAAGAGAAAAAGTAACACAGGTGATAAATAACATGAATGGCAGCAAA